AAAGAATAGTATTAGTATTCATACGTAGAGATGGGCTAAATTGGTTCGTATTCTTACTTAATATTATTCAAATTATTTAATATTACTCGAAAAATATTGTATATTTGATACTTATGTTTATTTGAATTCATTCTGGTGAATTATTGGTAGATGTTAGTTTTTTAATTGAAATATGGTGAATACATCAGTGTAATTGATATATAATAAAATGAGTTAAGCGTAGTGACAGTTTATAGTTTCGCATCTGTATAAGCAGGGTTGTACATATAATGTTTTTTTAGTTACTGTGAAAATGACAGTGTGTTTTGCAATAGGGAAGAAAAGGATCGGGTGCAAAATAAGCTGGCTTTTGAAGGTAAAAGTAAAAATTGTTTAAGATAACGCCTAATTAATTTATATAATATTCTTTAATACAGTAATAATGAATTTTAATGTAATTAGTATTTGTGTTGCATCATGCTTTCAAAACGAGGCATTAATCATATTTATCTAATTGTAAGCAAGTTAGATCTGCCTATTCTGCGGATGATAAGATGGGCATTTTCTCGTTTGAATCTGGTTTATTAACATTCATGTGCTTATCATGTCTGTACTTGTATTTTTCGAGAACTTGAATAAATTTTTTTGTAATAATAATTTATTTTTAGTAGCAAATTTATTCTCACGAATTAAATCTGCTATTTTATTATGACGTATAATAGATGGCTTGTTCTATTAGTCATGTTTTTTTATATTTTTAATAAGTATTTATGATGTAGGAAAGTATTATAGAGATGAAGCAAACACATAAATGATGTGTGAATTTAAAAAATATAAATTGATAATTGAGAAATTTATATAAGTGTTGCCAAGGAAAAACCTGTAAGTACTAATTTTAAAATTTTATTTATCAGAAATTTTCTGAGATTAAATTCGATAAGTTAAAAATCTGAAATCGGTGCTTATAGGTTTTTACTTGGCAATACTTGTAATAAATTTTCATGAGATAGTCAATCTGAATTAGTTCTTCGTTAGTAATATATTATTTTCAGTTGTGTAAAAATAATTTCATATGATATAATGTATTATTATGATATTAATATATAAAGGATCTTTATTAATTATAGATAAGAATCAATTTCATGTTTGTACTGACTGATTGACTGATATACAATGCCATGCAATATTGATACGATTGTGAAAATAAAACAAGTCCGTCAAAGTGACAAAGAGAAATCTAAATTAACTGTTGTATAGGCAATAGGTGCTTACCCTGTTGAAAGTGAAGACTGTGAAATGGTGATGGTTTTATTTGTTCCAATAAATGATGATGGGAGGGATCCTAATACACAATCAATTTTTGAAAAAAACGAATATTATAGTGTCGGTGAAAAAGTTGTACTCAGAAATTATAATGGCAACTTAAGATTAAAAGTAATATATATTGAATTAAATATTGTAAAATAAAATGATTATTTATTTAATTTTTATTAAATTTAGATAACAGTTGTATCATCAACTCACCTTACGATTAAAAGAGATCCTGGTTCAAATAGATGTCCATTGAAAGTTTCATTAGTAGGTGTCGCTCCAGACACACCAAAGGAAGTTAATGACGAGAACGCAATAATTGATATATTAGTATCAGATTACACTATGAAAAGCCACAGTCAATTAAGACTGTATTCCTATATTATAATAGCCGATTTAAGTATCTAAAGAATTCTATTCAACCAAATGGATCAGTGCTTTTTGTTGTAGGTCAGATGGAGATTATAGAAGAAGAATTATATGTATATGCCATTGATATCTCTTACATTGATGTTTATTCTGTAGATAAGAAAAAAGGTTCTGATTCAAGCAATTCTCAAATTACGCCTGTATTGTATAAATCGGTTCGATCAAAACTTTTAACTGTTTATCAAAATGCTAATGAAGAGTCGTCTAAAGTACTTAAGGTCAGAAAATCTGATCAGGACAAAGAGCCGAATAAACTACCAATTGACTTTACTATTATAGATTCTCATCCAAGCAAATGTGTAAAGATAGAAAATGAAAAAGATGATTATGCTGATCTTTATTGTGATGAGGATAAACATGTGGATGATCATAATAAAGATATAAACGAAAGTGACAAATGTGAAGAAAATATTGTCCTTGATGATAAAACAATGAAGCATAGTTATGGAAAAGTAAATAAAGGTAAAGGAAAGGTGACTCAGCCTGTCATGCACAATACTAGAAATCGAACTGAAAAGTTCAAAAGTGTAAATATTGATGAAGATGAATGAGTATGAGTTTATAATAATTACTCTTAAGCATACATGTATATATTTATATTAACTTGTAATACATAAATTTTATATATTTGGGATGTAAATAAATATAAAATATATTATTTAGCATTTTAAATATTGATTGCTTATTAATGTTCATGTGACTTATTGAATTATAAATATATTATTGGTTGTTTTTTATTTTTGAATAGATTTATTCGTTTTAGTATTATCTAGTAATACTTATTTGTTAAACTTTGACAATTTTTTTGCATTTTAACATTGTAAGTAAAGATAGATCGTAGAATTTGTAGCATTTAATTTTAGAACATTGATCTTTCTGCAGTAATAGAAACGTGATACATATGGCACTTTTGATAGGTTTGTAAGTATTGGTTTTACTAGTAATATTTTATCTGTGTTATGATATTTTTAGATTGTATAATATAAAATGATATTATATTTATAATAAAATTGATATTTAATTTATATGGGTGTAATGTTGCAAAATTATAGCGGTAATATTCTGTTAAGGTTTTATTTGACAATAATAATGTAATTACAAAATTTCATATTAACAAGTACGTATAATAC